ATTTTTTGTGAAATGGGAAACACGTATTTAAAATACGTCCCCATTGAAATACGTGACATATGGGGTCGTCTCCAATAATCTACGCTAAGGAGACATATTTCAAAGCTAGGATTTTTCCTTCACTCACCCATCAAAGAGGTACTTCTCATGGAAGTTAATGTTTTCTGTCTTTGTTTCGTTGGATCAAAAAAAAAATCAGGAAAATGGGACTGAAAAAAGTGCCCTAATGGATTTTAACGAATTTTTTTTCCTTTTGAAATGTAGACTCAGGGAAATCCATGCCACCCAGTTTCATCCTTATACGTTATAAAGATTTTTTTCTGCACAGGCATTTTTTTTGGACGTGTTTATGACGAGAAGCTGAAGGATTTGGGGGGACGGACGGAATGATATTTGGTATTTATTAATTACTGCATTTGATATCTTAATCACTTTGTCTCCCATGTTCCGATATAACGGACTCACGACTCAAGGAATCGTGACAGCAATAAATCGAGACTCACCGTAGATTCCCAGTCGCATTCGAAGGATGACACGCGCATATTTCCGTGTGAGAAAAAAAAAAAAAAACTGGACCGATCGCATGAACAGATGAGTCCAGAGTCTGAAATCCCATTGGACCACGCGCACTCTTGCGTCTTTTTCATTTTTCGCTGCTCTCTACCTTTTCATTGGCAATATTGAGGACGGACGAGCATAAAAAAGAAAACTTTCTCATCATCAAGCAATCTCCTCAAAGCCATCCTAGCGGCTTTTTTAATTTCCTCGTTTATTTAAATTTTTCTCATGACATCTTAGCCCTTAGGTATCTGTTACTTTCTTTGTCATGCCGACAGTCCAGGTCACCATTTAGTTACAAAATGCTACAAAAATTAGCTACAAAATTTAGCTACAATTTAGCTACATTTAGCTACAAATATTGCATTTTTAATATATAGAAACTACATTAATGAATGCCTGACGTGATCGTCTCGACCCATGACAGAGGAAACGAGCATCTACGGCTTAGGTCTAATCCAGGAAATGAAACAACAAATAACTTCGATGCGCAAAGATAACATCTTGTTTTAGTGGCATTTTTAAATGCAAACGCAAGACGATCTTTGTTAAGCTGCTCAACCTGTACAGCGTCACCTGGGACGTCAACAAAGGCTCCTTTTACCGTTTGTAGCAGTTTGTGCATCAACCCATGAGAAGATTTGCGTGCCATGAAACTTTTGTAAGGGTGAATCGCATGTTACGTAAGAAAATCAGGTAAAGTTTCTGTTTTGCATTTTAATTTTTAACTTTTTTTAAATTTAAGTCTAAATACAGGCTAGTTTCCCCGTCTAGCATCAGATGTGATAAGTAGCAATATCACCCTTCAAGAAAGGAGACGAAGCTTAAGAACATTTCCATGGTTTTAATCATTCTTTTTTTTGTGTGTGAGCTCTTTATGTAATCGATCACAAGTAACAGGGACATATTCACGTTCTAATTTGATGTTAATCGACTTCCGTTCCATTCCACTCAAATTTATGAAAATGATTAATTTGCATGTTTTTTTTTTCTTTAGTTTCACACAGGATCAGGCCGAGAGGACCGACCTGACCCTCGGTTACCAATCCGGTTTCCGGTCGTTTCCGGACGAGTACTTCATCAAAAACATCAAGTTGTAAAGGTTAGAGGCCTCTACGGGCTGCACCCGGGACCGACAGGTCGACAGGTCGACAGGATCTGCGGGTCGAATTCGTAAAGCTCGATCGGCGGTCGATTTTCGGGTCGGACACGGTCCATAGGGTCGGTAAAAATCGACCCGTGCAAGTCTCCGTCCGACAGGCAGACGCACGAATCAACGAACCTATGATAAAAATCACGGGAAGGAGAGGTTTCTCTGCTAGGAAGTACTCATAGATTCCCAATTTGGGCAACCCTCTCAAGAAATATGTCTGACATTTCTTTTAAGAGATACCCTTTCACATTCTCGATGATTCCCACGAAACACCTAAACAGGGAAACGCCATATATAAAAGGACGATTCCGATGAAGTTTCGCGTTGAATTGGCGAGAAACGGAAAGGGATAAACGAATACAATTTCCCACTAAGAAAAGCTGCCTACTGTAATATGCTTCAGAATGTTAGAGTTTCGGTATGTGAAGCCGACGCAGGAGTCGATCGTTCTCCTTCGAGTCGATGATCGTCCCTCCATGCCCTCTCCTTTCTAAACCAAAAAGATCCAAAGTACGACCAGGAACCCCATAGGCTAAATCTTCTAGGGACCCCCCGCGGCCAAATGCGGAATGGAAAACAACCGCTCCGGATTACCATTGTAATTCGTACATAGTGATCCAGATGGTGTGAGAATAGTCGAACAATACAATTTATTCTACTAAATCAACTTAGCAAGTCATACTCAATGATTACCCGGCTGCCTTGCAGCCCTTATAACGAGAGAAGAGGGGATTCCCAATCACCCACAGTCCCTACACCAGGTCACGTCTCTCAATAAATGTGCTAATTGAAAGGACTTTCTCCTGCTTGAACGTGAAGAAATATCGAGCGCAGGATGAAAGCTTTTGCAGAACCATCCATTTGCATTTGAAGAATGACGACACATACAGCGGCGAATTCAGCGCGACCTCGCTTATACCGTGAGAACTTCATTTTATCGAACGAACGGCTAGACGTCAGGCCAGTTGGAAGGCCGTGAGAAGTTGACCCTTAAGAGTTCCTTTGATGAATGGCACATCGTTTCGTTCGTGATGTCGAACTCTGAACGATGTCAATGCGCTGGTCCGATTATACTGATTGGAATTACTGGGGTTTCGACCAAATATGAAAGAAGAATGAAAAAGGAACTCCATAAATCCCCTGATGGGATGCTCGTATCGCCATTCCATAAAACCCTCATTCAGTGAAATTGAAATGATTGAGGGTGAGATGTAGGGAGATTCTGTCCAGATGGAGCTGGGAATCAATGAGAAGATATGGATCCACGTTGATGAAATCCTTGGAATTTCCAAAGGATGACAATTCGAATTTTTTATTATCCATCTCTGGACGACTGGATCGTCCGTGGATGAGTGCGGCTAATTGGGCAGTTTTCTTTCATTCGAGGCAACATCGGGGATCTCATTTTCCATGGCAGACGTGGGAAAGATAAGGAAAAGATTGAGAACTTAGAGGAAAAGAGGCCATCCTGAGTGCCTTAAAAAAGGATATGAAGAGAATTTTAAAATATAAATAAAGGGGAGAGAAGGAATAGATTGAAATACTCACCGCCTCCGGATAGAAGAGTGAAGTAAAAATATAAATCATGGATGTAGTACTTCGTGCACTGTCGATGGCCCGTGATAGAACTCTTATCTTCGTCACTTCGATGTGTTTGCAATCAGAGGGAAAAAGACATCTGGTGAAATCGCACCCGGAAAATGTCCCCCAGACTTTGCGAAATCGGAAAAAAAACCATACTAGAAAAAATAAAGTACTTCAAACAGCAAACCACGCTGGAAAAAGATTGTGTATCTGTTTCATCATTGTTTTTTTTTTAATTCCCTTTCATCTGCCATTCTCATCAAAAGGCGCAGTAGCGCTTATTATCTTTCTTCATCCCTCTCCTCTCGGGCTAGAATAATGAACGTTAAATATAGCAAACATTTTTACAATTATACATCAAGTATCGTATTCAAAGCTAACTTAAACCTCGTATAGCTTTTCTGTGGTTTCATTCCGTGTGGCTTTTTTTTCTGCTCATGCCAATTCTGAGAGTATTTTTTCCGGGTGGCAGTTTTACCGGTGGCTTTTTCCGAAGCTCTTCAACGGCAAGACACTTCGAGAGTGGTGCATGTAACAGGACGGAACTTAAATAAGTTCACTTAAAATCTGGTCTTACATAATTTTCTCGGTAACAGTACTTTGGTTCTAACATTTTTCCTATGCCACCAATAGGCACTGATATGTGTGATGGGAGCTATCAAATTGTGATATTTTGCTTGCATTTACTGGACGTGGCAGAGAAAGCCAAAGAGCTACAACCTGGTCCGTTCAGGATCTTCTTCAGGACTTGAGGTCACCTACACATACAAGGCCTTCGAAACGGATCCATTCATGGATCCATGACCTTGCCTTCACGAGCGTTCCAACAATCTAACATGCAGGATGGCAAAGGGAAGGAAGATGCCAAGGTTGAAGGGAAACTCTGGCTCTTGGGCAAGTGCTCCGTGTCTTCGAGTTAATTCGTGAAGTGATATTTTGGAAACTCCATGTTTTTGGGTAAAGGATTGCAAAGCTCACATTTTGGCCTTCTCATCTCCACTCAATTTTAACTAACTTTAATTTATGACTTGTCTGCTGAGTTAGTTTTGAAACTAAAGCATGGCAGTAATTCATTTTTTCATTCGCATCTTTCTTTCTGCATGACAGGCTAATTTCTGAGTTTGTTTAGCTCATTCCACGCATATTTCTTCTCATTTCCTTATCTTTTTAAGAAGACCAGGTATGCTTTTGGCAAATAAAAAAAAGGTAATAATTATTAAGTTATTATTAAACAGCCATGGCAATCCTGACAGGACATTGTCATCTTTGGATAATATTTTTTTTTTAATTGAGCGTAGTCTATTCTCATCATTGTACGGTAGCAATGCAAAATGGATTCACGCCAAATCTCATCGTTACTCGACTGACGCAACTTTTAGTAGTTCATGAATAATGGTGAAACTCTGAACAGTACACGCAATGCGTTGAACACTACCCCGAAATTTTTAGATTGTTATTTTTCTGCAATATCTGGAACGGCATCTTTGTGGTGCGACTCGACCGTCACACGAACCCAATAGTTCCTTTGTCCCCGTGTTCCTTTTTTGTGGGGAATGTGAGAAACTTTTGCTAAGACATCCCGCAACTGCTGAATTGAAGGCGACTGCAGGAAATGCTCGAAAGAGAGAAGTCACACATAGAGCATGTTATGAACTGTTGAACCGATTTCAATTTAACCCTCTATAAATATCAGTGCCACGTGTAAGTCAAAATAAACTTTTTATTTAGACTAAAAATGTCAACATATCATGCGCCACCCTGTGCAAAGTCATTCTGAGTTTAATGCATACAAGTCATGCGTGTTGAGCCTTACATGAAAGTAAGAGTGATATTGATGCATTTCACTTTACCTTCATTTATATCTCTCATAATTATCTTTAAAATACATCTCCTGCTTCCACATAATGAATCTCACAAGATGCAGCAGCTTGCATCGATTCCCCTTCGTGTCCCTGGTCCCTTTCAAGGAGACTCATCTCCAGTTCAGAGTTCGTGCTGAGATACGACGCACTTGCACCGGGATTGGACAACACACTGGCTTGAACGTAACCTGTACTCGGGGCATTCTGTCGCGTCTCCATCTGGACGATACCAACATTTTTCGGGAGTTCCGCGTCATCGTTAAGGGATACATGTTCACTGTCGGGAATCCTGTTGCCGTCATCATGTCCTTCCTCGGGTGCTTTTTCTTCATCCTCAAAGTCAAAACATGCGTAATTGATATCTTTTTCACTGGGTGCGAGGCCCGTCTCCTCTTCGCCCACGATGTAATAACCGGGATTCTCCAAAGAATCGGACAATTTCCTGAATGTTTGAACCGGACTTCGTGTCCTGTTTGTGGGACTGCCAAGAATGGAGCCTTTCGTGCCAGAACTAGATTCCTGCAAGATTAAGTTCATTATTTTTACTTTATCCCACTAATGAGGCCAAGAGAAACGCGACCCAGACTCGCGGTATGTTGAATATGATACCTCTTTCAGGAAAGCAACTTGGAGATAAGACACTGGTGCGTCTGCGGTGGACCCTGCTTCTGGGCGACTTCTGTGAAACTGTATATTATCCTGTGGAGGCGACACATCTTCTCTCCAGTCTGGCGGTGAAAATAACTGGTTCGGAAGGAAAAGGAGTTAACTTTCTTGCTTAATGTGCAAAGAACTTCCTGATACCAGTCACGCATATCTATCCTAAACTTACTGTGAATTGGGATTCGGGCCAAGCAGCCTCTTCATCATCCTCTTGCTTCTGTCTAATCTCTCGAAAACCCTGTGAACGAATTTCAGCATGCATTTTCATGAGAATGGGGTTGAAGAAATGAACTATCTAAGGAAGACCTTGTATGATATATAGGTACTTCTCTCGCTCGGAATCGGTTGTGACTCACAGAGATGGTCGTGTTCGCGTTAACGCTCTCAGTTTCATACGGAGAAGCTTCGTTCGGTCGCTCCTCTGTCCCCTGATCAAGAGAAAGAGAGAGAAGCCATTTTCATTCTCACTGTACGAGTCTGTGGTCTGTACGAGTGTTTGGACGTGACATACATTCAGATTACCGCCAGAGAATACTGATGGCAATTTCGGATCTATTTTGATTTCCTCTTGAATGAATTTCCACAACCTGGAAAGGTATGACAAAGGAAACGTCTTGAACGGTGCTGGAAAGAAACTATATGGAACCTCAATAAAACACAAGGAAGAAGTAGCTATAAATTTGACCTCTTGCCCCCCAATCCAGCTGATACGACCAGAATCACACCAATTATGGCAGGGACCACCACAGCCACTACAGGGATACTCTGTCCTGTAAGGTAAATTCAGTCATAATTTCAATGCTTTCATTTGAACTTTAAACGAATATTGAATGGTTTAACGAATACCACATCGATGTTAACAGTGTCGTCACCTACGACCTATCGATCATCGTGATCATGAGAACATTAGTCTGTGATACAGTTGGTTTGGTCACCTGCTAAGTGATAGCAGCTTGATACAAAGATCCTTTTTTTAACTCATTGCTGAGTACGCACTTGAGGAGTTATACGGATCAAACCTGTATTGAGACTGAAGGAAAATATGGATTCGTATTCCAGGGTTACCCCTCCAAACGCAGCTCTCAAAATAAGGATTTATGAGGGATCCCGATTCCTCTCTCTCTCTCTCTCTCTCTCTCTTTGGTTCGTAGTTCTTAACATTCTGTAATGTCGTGCGTTTGATGCAGGAATTAAGACCGTGTTTTAGGAAGAAAATCTGTCCGGATGGAAGAATGAAATGTCTAACCTTGCCACAGACATTGTCCGATATTTCTGGTTCAAAATTCCTTGGTCATTACTGTCCGAAAAAGGGTGACTCGTGAAAAAGTTCATTCCCTCGCCCTTTTGGCAGGCTAGCTTCAATATGAGGAATATTTTCGTTTTGAAAGCTGCTTTTCTCTGAGGTTCTCTCTTAAATAAAGTTCATTTTTCCCAATGCATCTCCTTGCTTTTGGTTCTATTTGTGCACCTGTCTTCCCATAACCACGTCTCTCACTATCTGCAGTTGACATTTCACCGCTTCAATTGTATTTGAAAATAATTTTAAATCTCTTTTCTCCCCTTAAGTTTGCACAGAGAAAAAGAAAGTCCGACCTGGGTCTTGGGATGATTCGAACCTCTCCCAGCCCATCCCACTGCCCCCAGATTCTCCGTTGGCCGCAACGGCGAATTTGAGGAGTTCCTCGGACTTCAGCTCAAAAGTGGTGATGTTCCTCGGAACGACAATCCAGTTGATGACGGAATTACAATCCGGCCAGTGTGGAGAGTTATGGCACCAAAACACTGTGAAATTAGTCGTCTTCTTCTCTTCGGACGGTCTCCACTCGAAAAAGTACTTCCCGTCATCGGTTGAGATTTCGTTCTGGATCATCGGGCTTTGGATTCCTATTTCCGGTGGGATTTTAGAAGGCCCAGTTCTCAGTAACTTACGAAAAGATTATGGCGACTCTTCGAACAGTTGCCGATCTACTCTCACGGTTTCTTTCCTCGTCGACTTCAATGGTTGACGGCCTCGGGGACTCTCCCTTTTCGTTTTTAGAGACGATGTCGAATCTGACGACCGACTTGGTATTTAGGTTTTCGAAGACGGCGGACGTGTCCGTCACAGACGTTGGCTGGACCTTCTCTTGTGTTGATATTTCCAGCCCTTCTACCTGCATCACACGAACAAATATCGCCTTCAATCTCTCTTCCGTGTGCAGGAAACTGCTTTTTTAAGGGAGAGGGCACAGTCCTTCCATAATCCTGAGAACGCGTGCGAGAGTAATTCACAAAGGAATCTCAAACAGACAAACGAAAATTTATCTCCGTTTGTCTCCCCCTTGCAATTTGGGCCCAACGACCGTCTTCATTTCCTAACTATTTTCACTATGTTAAATGGAGTCACGCTCATTTTGAGATGATCTCACCTTGTAGGTGAAATTGTCAGAGTAATGCTCCCAGTCTCTCAACGGGATCCAGTAAAGGTGAATATTCCTGTGATAATCATCAATCTGCTGAACGTGGAAGCTCCCCGGCGGCACTTCTGGGCTCCTGTCTGGCGCTGCAAAACCAGCAAGAAAAGCTTAAGACGAGCAGAAGAAAAAAGTAATTATGTGAGGGAGGACTCCGTACCTTTCGGCAACGTTCTGGCGACGACCGTAGAAGGACTGGACCAGAGATCGGGGAATTCTGCATCCTCGACGACGGCCTTAATCCAGACTTCATATTCGGTATTCGGTATAAGGCCCGTCAATGTATAATTCCAGGACTTTTCATTGGACGCTCCTGGGATCGTGTAATTCGTCATCTGGATTACAATTTTAAACTTAATTCTGAATCCCTTTTGAGACCCTCTGAAGAAGACATTAGAAGAATGCATGACCATGGTTTTCTTTTAATTTCCCATTTTTAGAAATGACTGGGCGCGGCTCCCAGCTTCTTCAAAGCATTTATCCTTTTCTATCCCGTTTGTTACTTTGAATTCCCAGCCGCGATCACCGCGAATTTCATCGCAACGAAAAATTACCTGCTTCCTCTTTGATGCAATTTTCTATAAACGACGATCATTGTATGAGTCTCCACAAGACGCGTAATGCAAGATGGGGAGATCTCTCCCATCCTCAGCGGCTTCACAGCCCGTTTTTCTTTCGATTATGAATTTAAGATTCCCTGCGTCGTTCAAAAATGATACTGGCCTCTGAGGTACACTAAAAAAATTTCCGGAAATTTTCCACCGAAATGCTGTGTTCGCTTGTACATGGAAACATGGGTGTCTCATTGAATTCTACAGTAGATATCGTAAAGCAAAAATCGACCCATGATCTCTTCCGTGTCCTCACCTTCCATGCTCATTATCTTCACTTTCCGCCAATTACTTCGGCTCGATTCACGGTCACAGCCAATGACGTGTTGTCGTTCGAAAAGGAAAAGTGAGAATCATTTCCGAGTTGTTCTAAAGGGCACAGAAATTCTTGACGATCGCGTGAATATTCGAAGAGATTTTACTCTGCGTATGGGTCCAAAATTTTGTTTGGGAAAATATAGGAAATGGATTCAGATGCGGATCAGAAATTGGTGCGCCTGAGACACGGTTCTTTTCATGAATAATGCTTTCTGAGTGGAACAGTTGCCACATGTTCATTACGTTCATTGATTTGGTTTCGCCTCTAGCATACTGCGATTCCTTCGATATAGCGCCGCCTACGTCAGGGCACCAAAAGCGGCGAAAACCAAAGGTGGCGTTATTTCGAGGGTTGACTGTACCTCTCCATTACTCAGCCTTTACACCTATTTCGCCTACGCATGGATGCACAATCTATTGTTCAGGGCGATGAATCGATGTTGGTAAATTAAACTATCGCAACAACTACAGGAAATTTGGCCATTGAAAATATTTGGCCATTGCTTATTTTCGGAAAGATACGGCATGCAACAGCAAATCATGGTTCTTCCCTGCTTCCCCTTCGACTGTCGGAGGGGTGCGGGGCGATGTAGAGAAATTTTCTCAAGGGTTGCAGAATAAAAAGGTTGAAAACCTCTTCTTTAAAACATTCCGATTTTAAAATCACCGAGGGTAATTACAGTGTTGTACGCTCTCCCGTTTCCTTCGGACGTCCCTTCTCAATACGTTCGTTTTTTTCCATTTCCGATAAATATCCTCATTAGTTGCCTCCTCGTTCGTTTCAATGCTTTTTCTGGAAATTGCGTTCGTCAAGTGACTTCCAAGAAAGCGTAAAATAGATTTCACTGTACTATTCACATTGTCATATCACTAGCCAGGGACATTCTGACCTAGGTGCTCCTGAAATTTTTTTCTTACTTTTTTTTTCCATTTCACGTTGGTATGAACTGGAAGCCGATTCCGATTCAGGAATAATTATTCTTCCTGAAAGGAAGCTTGAACAATGTCGTAAGACAGAAATAAGAGAGCAGGAAGTAAAAAAATTGCTCACATGTTTTTTTTCTTTAGGAGAGGCACGTGTCATCCAACGGGTGAACGGATCCTGACAAATCATTTGCGATCTGTGCTGTGAAAGCCGCAGCTATAAGAGTAACTTTCGGACGACTGTTACACAAATAAATCTCAGAGGTAACTTGAGTGTCGTCAGCAAGGAAGAGCGTTCGGATATATCACTTCCTAAGTTCAGTTCCGATAGAGCCTTCGTGCTAGCTTATCCCCCTATTACGTCACTTCCGGACCAGAATAATGGGTGAGTTCACGTACGCCAGTGAAAGGAAGCTCGTCGGCCCATGAGCTTTGTACCCATTTGATGTTATGGACGATGGAGATGTTGTAGAGCTGTAAACCTGCCGGGAGATCCCAGGTGACGTCCAGTGTCTCTGCCTCCACTTCCCCCACGGCAACATTCTCCAATGCCTTGATCTTAACTACATGACATCAAAGGAACATAGGGTGGTAGCAGGATTATGATTCGGCAGGCACAGGAAATTTAGCAGTCGCCAAGTCACATAACTGTAATCTCCTTTCCAAAGATAAGAGGGGAAAGTGCAAAAGTACGAAGTATTTATTCAATCCCATTGTCCAGCGATATCCAATGAAGGTTTACTTTACTGTTTGATTTCAATTACAAACCTATTGATCGGATCTCTAAGCAGTGCCGCAGAGAACATGAAGAAATTCAAGTACCCCCCCCCCCCCCCCTTCCGAGAATAACAAGATTAAACAATACACAATATATATGAGGTAGAGTTCATCAACAGTTGGGACCATATGCAATAACTTTTTTCCCTCATGAGACGAACAATTTTTGGCCACCCTATTAGATCGAAATATGAATGAACATGCATATTACAATTGAATTTAATTATTCAAAAAGGTTAGGTTCTGTGAGGAAAAAATCTCAGCGTTTGCCCTTTTGGCTGGAACGCTTTCCATTTCTTAGTAAATCGGAATGATATGAATCACAAATGGAATCAGACTCACTGTTCCGGTAGAAATCGAAAAGATAATTGAAGCTTCGATTGCCGAGTGGGTTCTGGGCATCCACTGCCACCTTCGTTCCTGTCTCATCGGGAGGAGGAGGAGGAGTCTCATCTGTCTTCAAGTCGCATTCCGTTGCATCTGGGTTCGGCTTCTGGCATTCTGTCATCTCCATCCTTTTATCACATCAATTTCGTTAGGAACCCCACTTTCGGTCCATGATTGCTAGATCGATCGTGAGGAATCCAAGTACCCATTGATCTGGACGTAGAAAGAGTAATCCGTCTGAACGGGATTCTCTACTGTCAACCAAGTGCAATAGAGTCGCTCCAGCTGCTCCGACCAACAACGCCATGAATCCAGCTCAAAAGGGGGAACTGTCAAAATCATATTACCTTATCTACTACTCAAGCAAATAAATCGGTCGAAAATGAAATGCACCTTACAGCCGATGTTAAAGTTCACCGTATGAAGGTTGGAAAATCCAATGCCGTCGGATGTGTTCCCGCAATAGTACCGACTGTTATCATCCGTGGGAGCATTAACAATGACAAAGGACACCGTCGTGCTGTTCAACATGGAATTCGGATTCACGATGTCATTAGACGATGTCTTGAATCTGAGATCAGAGACAACGAGTCCCTCTTTCAACCCTGCGTCGGTCAAAGTGCAGTAGCTCGTGATGTTCTCCCCGCTTTCGAAGATGTATTGTCCATTGCTTTCCCGAATTCCTCCCTCTGGCTGCATTTCTGCCGATAATTCCGAAATCGTTTCAAGCACTATTCTATCATGAGTGTACAAACAATAGTGTTTGCAGCTAAAGTCATGGAGGTAAGAGAAACTACCCAATTTCGAATAAGTCTTCAAATCGCATTCTTTAAATAGCGAACTTTAAAATGTTTTATTTTCATTTAAGATGTCCCTGACATTGCCTGCAATCTTGCAATATTCAATATTCTGTGACATGAGTAGGGAGCGGACTTTCAGGCGCTAAGAAGTCATAAGCTCTGCACATGAATATGTCCTTAAAAAGCCAAAATATGTGCATAAACTTGCCAAAGCTGATGTGAAATATGCATGAAAGTTAGAAAATACATTTAAAAAAAGCTCTTTATCACTAGAATAAATTCTTAAGAAGAAGGAACTGCAATGTAATTTTCACATCGCCAAGGCTCCCCTTGCCCCACAGCATGGAGTATGTGAACCTTGGTGGTAAAATCAGGTGTCTGTAGGGCATAATTGGTCTATTCTTGTCACGGAACACGATAGCCAGGAAATTTTCATTGTTGCTCATAAAGAAACCTGGTTTTACTGATAAACTTTTTTCTTTACAGAGAATGGAGGAAATACGCGTAAATATGCACATAGAATACCAGCAAATGAAATAGGAACACAGTGGCGTGAGACAATCATGTGACTGTACCACAGTTAGTATTCTGTATGACCCACACACAAGCTGCCAAACGACGATATCAGCGGTATTATTCTTTTCCATATCACATGGGCCGTCACGTGATTGTATTGCGCCACCGGGACGCCAGATATCTCAGAGAGATTCATCATTTGCATACCTCGATGGATCCAATAAATGGCCTAAGTTTGGTATCTCTCGTTCTCGGTGTTTCTATTTCATTTGCCGGGAGTGTACATGCATTAATATGCATATTCAGAGTAAAACATCAAAACATGGTTTTTTATGCGTTTTTAGAATCATCAATTACTTCCTCAAATGCTAATAAATGTTCCTATCTGAATTGCATTCTCCTACGAGGGCTGCATACAAAATTTGCATTTGCATAAAAAAATCCACTTCTTAGCCATGACCAGTGTCGCAGCCTGGGTTTCTCCAAAGGAAGGCTAAGAGTAACAGAGTGGGGCTGAAAGTTCCGTAGCTTCTCCTCGGTCGGAGGATAAAGGTGGCGAATGCATTTAGACCAGAGTGGGAAGGAGAGGAGAGGGGGCTAGAGCCAAACTTAGAGGAACTGCAGTCTCCCCTCGCAACGCCACTGGACACGACGGCGACTCACGAGCTAGGCTTCCCATGCTCCAGGATCGATGGTCTCCCGCTTTCGAGACGGCGACAGCGAAGAAACAAAGAGCGACGAAAAGTGTCAATGCCCAACACCGCATTCCCCTTGAAGATGGATGACTGGAATGCGGAAGTCCTGTAGTCGGATAGAAAAGTTTGAGCTATATTTATTGAATGCAGCTGTCGTGCAACAGCATCCGCAATGATCCCAACTTTCCGCTGCCAATCCAAGTAGCACCGGAACATTTAATGAATGTTCAATGAACGTTTCATTTAAGGTATTGCCAACTTTCCACGAACATCCTTGGGAACCTTCCTGGACCATTCAAATGTCCGAAAGAGATGAAAAAAAAAAGGTCTAATTATGCGTTCCTTGAACTTTCATCAAGGACGTGATTGGAATGTTTGTAAACAGCAAATAAATATTATAAGAACTTTCTCTTTCAGGATTCATGTAGCAAGCAATTAATGTATTGGAAACGATCCTTTCATCGTTTAAACTGCAATAAGGCCAATTACAATCCTACTTCCGTGACAGGGGTCATAGGCCATCACCGTATCCAAGCTTCTCTTAGGTTGAGAGCATTTTCTTCTCTTCACGCTACCTAAAATTCCTTCCCAGGAGCGGAATTGATCCTGTTATTTCTATCAGATTAGCAGCGTCCTTCCTGCTCCGGAACGGCGTGCCGAATTAGACTCGAAATGAGGAAGTCACATCACACCCCAATCTATCTGCACATCATTAGCCACACGCTGTACTACTCTATTTGAAGGCATTCATAAGCCTCACCATCTACTTATCCCCCTGGGCCTACCCGATTCCTCCCTCCTTGGAGTCAGGATGGAAGTTGAACCATCCTCCACCCTCGAACCAGAGTTTTCTGAAGTCTCGTTGGACTGGGTTTGCTTTTAACCATTGAAATGTCTTCCATAGTGGTGCCTGTGACGAAAGATCGTACAATGTGTGGAAAGAATTGGGAATTCCAGCTGCACTAGGTATCGACTCGCTAAAACGGCTACTTTAGCGTCATCTGGCCTCGGTGGTGCGAACCTCTTCTAGTTCAAGCCACTGCTAGATGGATAGCACAGATATGCTTGAAGAAAGCGTCTCTTTGACGCCCAAGGAATCAAGGTAGATAGAATATAAGATAGTCTCAGCTCGAAGCGCTGTGATGGACGAGTTTTTCGCAGCTCTGCGCACTACGTCACCGTGGAAGTCGAGTGGGAGTGACCTGTATGACGAGGTGATTTTCCGTGCAGGTTCAGTTGAGCGATTAGTGCACATTGCTATGCAGGATCACATACGTGAATTGTCAGCGGTTAATTCGTAGACCTAGGCCAGACTATCGGGTTATATTGCTCGAAGGAAGGAAAGCATGGGAGTTACAACCTTGGTTAATAAGGAAATATCAAGCTTAGATGACAGCAGTGAAGGAGGAAAGCCTGAATCCAGCAGCTGTAAATTCAAAGGTTATGTACACCTACTAATGATTGGTTGAACCTGATGAAACAGTTTGAGGCAACCTATGCAGCTAAGTATGGGACAGGAATCACCAAGGAGAAGGGTATGATCAAGAATCTAAGAATCTTGTAGCTGATCTCCAATCAACATTCCCTTCTGTGGAATCAAGAGCGATACTGCTATATGCTCGTACAAGGACATTCATTGGGGTCAAGTCCTTGAACAGGAACATTGATGACAGAAGGCACCACCTTAAGGAAATGAAGGAGGGGCAAAGGTCATCTTCGGTCTGATTGCATCCAACCATTATTTTAATATTCTTAACCTCATAAGCCACCTGGGAAAGTCCTGATTTCATTTTATCCAGTCGGATTTAATATAATTTGATGATTTGTTCTTACATCTTAGTTTCAATACCTTTTTTTGCACATGTTTCAAACTATACATGCCCATAATTATTAACCTTTATCGGACGAACGTCGCAACTGCTGTGTCACAGAATGCATTTTTCCATGGCCTAAAGGTACAAATGCTGTACCGCAACTTTTTGGGGGGGAAATGCTCTGATATTAAATGAGTAATTGCTCAGTTAACAAGTGTTTATAAGCTTCGTAGAAAATATCGATATCTGGCTGTCAGCTCTTTCGCGGGAGATTTAAATCCGTCCAATAAAAGTTAATCCGTGGAAGTACAGTACTAATTATTGACTGAGATTAATTCCAACCTTACATGTCGAATACGTTTTGCTTCAAATATCAACCCTTTTGTACTTGATCCAATGAGTCTTATTATGACTGGAATGAAACATTTAGAGAAGTGGAATCTCCTACGAATTAAAAAAAAATTGATTTGCTGACCAACGTGATGGATCTTTCCGTTCCTGAACGAGGCTGACAGAGGAATGGATGGCAAGAAGCAAACACTCTCATTCTAAATATAGAGCTTGCTGAAGCTACGTGTCAGCTAAGAATGCAAAGCCCCCTCGCACATTATTCAACCCTGCGGATTTTTCATTTTACTTAGCATTAGATACTCAGAGTAAATCACACAGTAAATGTATGCCGGCCCGAAACCCATCAGTTATCAAGTTGATTGTCACAACATAGACGTACGTACGTGGTATGTGTATTACAGATGGCCGACTTACGCGGCCAAACCACTGGGAAAAAGTGGAACCGACGAAATAACAGCAATAAATTCAGAATCAATGCAGCAGAAATTTATAGGATGAGAAAAAGGCTAGCTGTTGGACTTCACACGAAGGCGAGCTCACGCACATGGCTCCCTGATCCTTCCACGGTGACGTCATGAGCGGCAGCCAATGAAAAACAACCAGCTGAGCTGAGACTACCTTATATTCTATCTACCTTACAAGGAATGTCCCTTGAAAAGGTCATGGATTGGTGATCAAACGGCACCTTGGCTGAGCGCCCAAAACCTGCCCATCCATAAATATTGATCGTCCCAGAACCTCAGAACCTCTTTGAACACAGGTTAAACGTCCTCGAGAAAGTTCATGGGTTACTTGGGACCTAAGATAGCTTCATCGTGATTATTTCCTCCAACAGTCCCTGTAATGCTTTCCTGGCAGCTATCCTTCCTCTATTTTCTTTGTATAAATTTTAGCCCTGCCGTATACCTACCTTTCTGCAGCTGATTTTGCTATGCTGATAGTCCTAGTCATCATACAATCACAATCACAAAATATAACATTTTTAAGAGAGAGAAGTTACATTAACCTATGGGTGACATGTTACACTCTCATGATTTGCTGGGCCCATGACAGGAAGAATGATCATGGCTTAGATCTAATCAAGGAGAAGAGATGGTAAGCTATTTTGGAACGCAAAAATAACATCATTAAAACATATATATATTTTTCAGTGGCTAACATAACAC